CAAGTTGACATTGCCCCCTATTAATTCAAATTGTGCCATGTCCTTAATTAAAGAATCTTAAAATCTCAGCACTAGAAGGAAAACAAAGAGATAATTTCCTCTCAGTGTTTCAACAGACAGATAAAGATTATCATGTTATGGCCAAGATTAGTGCTTAGGTGTGGGCATGTGGTCCCTGGGAGCAAGAGACTATGAGATATGATGAAATTCTCTTTGTTGGCATGTGGCAGAGGACCTGGAGGTGTTCCATTGAATAGTTTGAAGTCAGGCTTGTCTGTTTAGTGAGGTGCTGAGATATCTAGAGAGGGGCCTTTATACTTCAATTCCTTCAAAAGCAGACTAGTCTAATATTGAAGAAGAATATTCATGTCTCTCTCCCAGTCTTTGCCCTTATTATCCCATCTTCTTACCACAGTCAAAGTCAGCATGTGACTTTGCACAGATCACCTGAATCAGTATGCGGTTGCTCTAGCCTTTCAGACAAGTACTAGATGCCCACAGACATTTTATGTTTACTTTGCACTGGTCTCACCTTCCACCATGGGCCTCTGTCCTGTCTTTGTGTCACTACTGTAACCATAATTCTCCTTTCCATCTCAGGTGACTCTCTGCAGTCTCCTAGAGAAGCTGCCAACCCTAGGATGGAAGGGAAAGCTTCCTTATTGGTCCTGGGGCAAGGAGAAGACCCTGGATATGATGATATTGAGCTGGGCACCATGTAGTGCCATTTTTGGAGCAGCTAAATCTGCAAAGACTCTGCTATGATTTGTTTTTCACATAACTGAGAATCCTGTCTTTCGTATTACTATAAAGGTTTCATATGCATCTGTGATGAAAGAAAATTATTCATAATAAATAATCTAGGCACATTCACCCCTACTGATCTTGGAAAATTGAACCTTCTGCCATACCCCTTTCCCAGAGTGAATTCTTTGAAATATCAGTTTTGTCACCTTCCCACAAGATACATTCTTGCCTTTCTTTAGGTACAGAGAAGTTTGTGCTTTTCCTGAATAGCATGAAACTCTGAAATCCAGCCTTGAACTCTTAGAGAGACAAACTTATGAAAAACACACTGGGTATTCCAAAATAGTCCACTCACTACCCAAACCTAGAAGTTAGGTTTAAAGTGAGTGGGTTGATAAGGTAGAGACAAAATAGTTATAACAGTTCTCACTTTGCCTTAATTTTTATAAACCATTAATAACAAAAACTTACTACAACCTAATATCTTTTTGTCTCTTACCCTAGCTTCCTTTTTTCTAGCCATTCCCCAACATCCATAGACTTCTTCTTGTGCATCAATTTACACATCCTATGCTTTATCAAATTCTACTGTTTTCAGTCCTTTTTCATGAATCTCTCTTTTCCATTCTCTTCTCTGATTGTCTTTGTTTGGACACTTAACAACCCTAACTTCCCCAACTACAAAAGTTTTTTGAACTCTTTGAGCTTTTCTTTAGACTTGACTCATCCCAAACTATTCTTACATTTCTACTGGAGTTGTGTCACAAGAAAAAAAGAAAAGAGAGGGAGGGAGGGAAGGAGAGAGGGAAGGAAGATGAAAAGAAGGAAGATGAAGTGAATTACTTCACATGTCCTCTCAAGCCATGTATGGTTTGTGACTCTTACAAAATGATTGGGTGTGGTACTACAAAGATAAGGTGCTTGTGGCCTACAAAGGGCATTGGACAACATTACTAATGATGCAAATAAGGTGCATGGAACCCTTTGGGGATGGGACCATGCAAATAAGATGTATGGAATCCTAATGAGAGGATTGATAAGTTTGCCTTCTTCTAATGATGGCACATAACAACAACAAAATTAGATCACCAGGGTGGAAAAGGACTAGTCCAGGACTCTGATAAATTGGAAAACAACTCATCAGGGCTGGGGCAGGTACTGAGAAGACACTATAGTCATATTCTCGTTCTGTTCTTCACTCACAATATCAGTTAATCCTTGTAAACAAGAGGCCCTCTCTCATGACTGTAAATTTCTCTGCTCTACAATGGAGACCTGAGAGGGAGAGGGCAGGTCAGGAGCCAAAGCCTCTCCCAGAGCCCAGTTCTGGGCAAACGTTGCAGTCAATCAGAGAACAGGCCGTGGGATTCAAGGACAGACACTTGAGAGAGGCATGCAGGTGCAAGGTTATCTATGATCAGGCTATACCTGACATGTAGGACCTCTGCCTCTATCTATCATCACACACACACTCACTCACATAAGCCCACATCCAAACAGCGTATTTTACACTGTGTATTTTACAGACTGACTAGATCATTTCTTGGCAGACTTGTTCCTTCTCATAGTCTTTACACATCCCTTATACTCCCTGCGCATGTGCACACACACACACACACAAGTATATAGCCAGAAAAGAAAATAAACACTGGAATCCTACTGGGGTAGTCAGGCAGAGGAAGAAGAGTCAAGTTAGTGGAATATGTGAGGAACAGCCCAAAGACCCAAACACTGGGAGCCACCTGGATTAAACAGATGCTTCCTGAAAACAAGGAGACAACGGAAAGGACTGAAACCTACCCGCTAAATTGGGAACCAAATTTAATTTTTCTGCACAATCTGCCACTATGACCATATAACTCCCCACAGGAGAAGAACCAATATTCACAATACTGTGTTTCCTTTTGGGTCAAAAATATATGGCGTACACTGAGGCTTTGGTTCCATGACTTCAAGGACCTGTCACTTCACCAGCATGTCCACTACTGATCCCAGGAAAAGGGAGGCAACTCTTACCTACAGTGCCCAGCAGGATGCTGAGGAGGAGAAGATGCAACTAAAAAGAGAGATGTCCATTCAAAGTCATCCTGACTCCCTTGTCACTAAGATCACAACCCTAGTTACCAAAAAAAAAAAGGAGACATCCAGGTACTGATAAAGTTTCTACAGAGTGGGAATATATATACATGTCCCCTGACACCTCCCTAGAAGAGCCAATAGAGACACCTTTTGCTATGTCAGGTGCTATCAGAGGCTTTCATCTGCAAATTTCTGAAGTTCAAACACCAGTTAGAGCCTCAATCTTATATATCTCCTTATATGAACAACATAGCCCTTTGACATCATGTTTCCTTGCATCCCTGAGAACCAGCCCCCATGAACTGGTCCCCATGGTTATGT